CCCCAAAACCCCAAAACCCCAAAACCCCAAAACCCCTTGATTCAAATTTATTGAATGTTGGGACAGTATGGAATTAAGGATTATAATTATTGTAATCAATAAAAATGATTTAAAGTTCTAATACGACTAAATAAGGCAGCTTATTTCTAAATATTGAGAAATAAACTGATAAATCTAAGAAAAAAACTAGGAAATCCTTGTCTAAAGGTAGGCCATCCAAATCTAAAAAATAGAAACAAATTTCCCCAGTGGGTAAAACGCAATCTACTGAGAGTACATACGGGTAATCTTAAGGGAATGAAGGCAAGGATGATCAATAAAATGATATAGAACGTCGTAGGACAAGCAAAAAATCAATAAAAAAGAACCGAGTCCCAAAGGATGACCCAGAGGTTATTCATGACGATCCCCTCCTCGAATATAAAAGTAATAAAACAGCACACATGAATCTGCTTGGTAAGCGGTTTAAGATTGAGGATGAGATGCTCGGATTTGGTTCGTTTGGGAGAACGTATCTCGGTTAGGACATTAAAAGAAAGAAAAGAGTCGCAATCAAAATTGTAAGTGCTCTTTATTTATCACCTATTCCTGAGCTAATTAAAGATTTCATAAATCTCTCTCAGAAATTCATAACTTCCAAATATAGATGCTAAAGAAAAAATCAATGGATTCTTTTGTAAGAGAAGCGACTGTGCTGAAGTCTGTCAATTATTTGAAACATCCAGGTAAGTATTATAAAATTATTACACTATCATTTTTGCTTAATAGACATAATAATAAAAAACTTCTGAATTTGGCAAATTTTTCAATGCCCATTTAAAGCTCAAATAAATTTTATTTTAAGAAAATATCCTAATTATTTTGATAGGCTTTCCTAAGATGTTGATGTCAGCCTACAATGAGGATATTTGCATTCTAGTTGAGGAATTATTGGGCTAAAACTTGGAAACTCTCAGGAAGAAGTATGGTCGATTATCATTAGCCGTAGTTTGCAGTATTGGAATCTAATTGGTAAATATAGAATTTTATAACTGAATTTATTAGATCAATAGATTAAAGGACCTTCACAATTGTGGATTCATTCACCGTGATATTAAACCATAAAATATACTCTTAGGAAGTGAGGATCCTGAAAAAGCAAATAAAGTATATTTGATAGACTTCGGTCTGTCAATATCCTACCTAGAAAATGAGACAGGAAAGCATTATAAAGAAAATCCAAACCATAACTATAGTAACGTAGTTGGCACAGCACTTTTTGCCAGCATTAATGCTCATAACGGTAGAGATTTAAGTAGAAGGGATGATATAGAATCACTAGTATATACCTTAATCTATTTATGCCAAGGTACATTACCATGGAAAAATATTAATGAAAAGAAAAAAAAGGAAAGACATCAGATTATAATGTTCATGAAGGACACAATTTCCAGTAGCAGAGATCACTAATAAAATCTTAACTTTGTTCCTGTAGAAATATTTTAGATGCTTAGCTACTGCTAGGAACTGCAATTCGATGATAAACCAAATTACACATACTTAAAGAAGTTACTCCAAGAAGCAATTAAAAGAAACTATTCTATTAGGAGAATTAATGATATAGATTTGCTGAAAAATAACAATGAAGAGAGTAAAAAAGTAAATAACATGTCAATGCAGAGCCACCTTAGTCTAATGGCAGGTTAATTGAACAGTTTTTCTAAAGAAATCAGCCTTAATCATCCCCTAGACAATGTAAATTAATAAAATGCTCTGATAGATATTGATTCGATTGCCTTTAACTTTGGGTTTAACAAAAATGGTGCGGCTGATCATGAAAGTGATAATCTTGTCTCAGTCTAGTCTAATGAGCAACTTGCTTTCAGATCAGAAATTGATGGTAGATCAAACTAGAATGATTATAAAGATGAAATCATGAATAAGATTAACCCCTCTATGTTCCGATAGATCTTCAACGGTAACGTTGATGAAAATATCAAAATCGGACAACTTATTGAAGAAATCCCTGAAGTTGAAGAAGATGATAGTTATGGGGAACAGGATGATGATGAAGAAGGCGAAGAAGACCCTGATGAAGAGTCAAAATTAAGCCCACTGCATGCCAAGTACAGAAGAAAAAGCATCATCAAAAGGCATAAGCAAAGAGTGAATATAGAGGAACAAGAAGATGAATGCGAAGATGTACTTGCATAGGATAACATAGATGTGAATCTAAACTGTAATAATTAAAATAATGATGGAGACGGCGATGGAGGAGAAGAAGATGATGAAGACGAGGATATAGAAATGGATTGCGAAGAAGATATACCAGATGATAATGAGGTCTCCAAATAGATTTCAGGATACTCTCTTAAAGCAAATGACAACAATCTTAAAGGCTTTAAAGGCATAATAAACTAGGTAAATACCCAATGACGTGTGACTATTGAGAGTCGGTGTGCTGATAACTGATTTCTGTTACTTTACTCTAGTTTTTTGCAATAGAGTAAGAATATCCTAGACTAAGTCGAGTTTTGAATCTCTAATTATTATTAAATATGAGTATTGTGTATAAATAGACCTTAACTCCCTATGATCTTATAAGAAACTTAATTATATTAAAGTTGATAAAATTCACTCATTACTCATATTTATAAAAAATAATAAAAATCCTAGAAATACACTTAAATTATTATCTTTAATATTGCTTGTATAAAAATGACAACATTAAAGCATCGATTCGAAATTCAGGATATAATAAGTTAAGGAAGGTATTCAAGTGTGTATAGATGCTTTGATAAGAAAAAGCAAAGATTTTGCGCAGTAAAATTGGTATTTACTTTGAATAAAAATTTTCATCTAGTTTGTGCAAAGAAGCTAAGCAACTGACTAATATAATAGAGAAGTAGAGGTTTTTAAAAAGGTACTACATAAACCTATTAAAGGCTTCCCAAAATTCTATGCAAATGGTACTTCTATGAAAGGGGAGAAAGCCAAGGAGAAAAAATACATAGTAATGTCTCGACATGGTTACGATCTGTAATTAATTCATAAAATGTGTGGAAACCGATTTACTTATAAGACAGCATTGTCTATTGGTATTGAAATGGTACGTTCTTATTTGACTTTTCCTATTAATATCATTCATACAAGTGGCTTTTCCTCATTAATATATTCTTTATAAACTGAATTTAGGTTGATAAGTTGAATATGCTTTGCTAGTCTGGATATCTTCAAGAGGATCTAAAGCTTTCGAACATTCTTATACCTCTTATGAGTGAGTTTGATTAATAAAATCTAACTTTGTGTGATTTTGGAATGTGCGAAAGAGTGGCAAACGTATGAGACACTCTCACACTTGCATAAATTAGAGATCTAGAAAAAATCTTTTTTTTAATAACCTATATGATAAAAGGTGATTTACCTTGGAAGTACAAGACTTAAAATGACATATTCAATAAGCAAAATAGATAAAAAGTAAAAGATAGTTAGATTATCATGTACCTAAAGACTCTGGATGATAAATTTCAAAGTATCTACAAATGGCTAAGAATTCAGAATGGACATGTTCAAAATAAGAATAATAATCCTGAAAGTTTCTAAAAAGACATAAAGTATTTCAAAAGTTAATTACAGGAAATCCTATCAAAGCACTAAAGTGATAATGAATATAAATTTGATTGGTATCCTATACTAGCTAAAATTCAGAGATTCAACAGAAAACAAGGCATGAATCCAACCATTACATCATATAGAGGAAGTATTACTAGTGCAGTTAATGGCTAGGAAAGAAAAGTATAGAGGAAAGGTACATTTCAAATGAACTCTTAAAATGATAACAACTCTATAAATGGAGCTGGTATGAACCAAGAGCTCGAAAGTCCCTAAAAAAGCCGATTTCGCAAAATCCTCTCTCCTGTAAAGGCTAGATCTAAGAGTGCTAATGTAGTTGATGACGATCATCTTTACCTCGTTAAAGAATAAAGAGAGTGCTAAATTTTCAATGAAATGGAAATAATAGAAGATTCCCCGTTAAACGTAGAAAATAATCAAAAAAATGAATCACAATATAATTTCCTAAAGTTATTAGAGGGTTCTTAAGATGTTTCTTTTGAAAAGCGAAGAGAATCTTAAAAGTATTTTTTTGGGAATAAAGTATCACAGCTTGCCTAGTAATAAACAGATGATAGCATGAATAATATGTTTAATGGGACCTGTGGTAAAATGACAATGACCATGTCTTCTAAAAAAATGCTGTTTGAACGGACTAAAAAGTCTACGATGCTTTTAGTGTCCACAAACGAGCAGGACTCACAAAAGAGTAAAGACTAGAACATAAATAATCTGGAGGATATTGTTGAGAATTCTATATCTTTAGAGAGTGAAGATATGAAGTAATTTAATTTTGAACCAATTAGCAAAGTAGACTAATAACTAGCCTTAAAAAATGGAAAGCCATATGAAAATTAGGGCATGAAGAGTTTTGTTAATTAATTTTCACTTGCTAATCCTATTACCTCTGGTGATAAAAATTCAGAGGAATCGAAATATGCTTTGGAATAAATGATGAGCTTGCTTGATTAGTGTCATCCATCTGAGCAGACTCCTCAGTATTAACTTAATCAATACGATAATAATAAGATTTTTAATACACCAATGGCACCAACTTTCAATAACATTTCAATTAAGAATCAAACTATAGGCTAAAATCATCATATGTATAGCAATAATGGCAGTAGTATAAATGATATTCATCAACTTGCTCATGGCAGCAGCTAAAATTATTGTTCAATTAACAATAATGGCCCAGTAATGGCATAAGATGAACTTAAGGCCAGAAAGTACTCTGAAAATTATAATAGAAAATACTCAGGAATGGAATTTCATAGGAAGAACTCGATGCAGGCCAGTGAAATTTCTATAATCACAATAGACAGATTTGGATGCAATGAATATGACGAAGGAGTAAATATAAATTCAGTTAGATTTAGCTAGAATAACAAAGTGAATCCATTGAATGGTGGCAATCATAAAAATCCTCGAAAAGTAATGTCAAGGACATTAATGTCTTGCAACTAGTTTAGTGATAGCATTATCTACAACAAAATGTTCTGAGATTAGTAGTTAGCTGATACAAAAATATAGCTCAATGGGTATTAATATCTGTTATTGTGAATACTATAAATTCAAACCTAAATTTTAGTATATTAAAATATCATCTACATATACATTCATTAGAATTTTAATTTTTAAGATAATTCTCATAAAATTATCTATCTTTGACCTGCGGGGTTTTGGGGTTTTGGGGTTTTGGGGTTTTGGGG